GAATGTGGGATGCAGGATGCGGGATGTGGGACACAGGCCGGCTGGCCTGGCTTGCAGTGCTGGCCTGCGTGGCTCGGAGAGACTGGGAGCTGGGCTGCCATGTGTGGATTATTTAGAAGAGTTCCTGGCCTTGGAGGGTGTTAGCACCAAGAAGAACTTTGTGGGCAGGTCTGATGTTGGGTTTGGGTATGGGACTGCAGGGGGAACTGTGTTCTGATCCCTTCCCGTGCCAAGAAGCCACAACAAAGAGATGAGGATGGGAATGCTGCAGAGCACCTTTCTTTTTCCTCCTCAGATATGAAGGGACAGATTTTTAGTGAATCCTAAAAGTCATGTAGGGAACAATGACCGAACAGGGTGAAGGCAGGAGCAGCCTGGCTTTTCCTTCCTAGGGCCAGGAACATTCACATGTTGGACAATACAGTTGGGAAAGCAGCAGTGCAGCCCTTCCTCTACCCCTGATTCAGTTCACTCCCAAAATCCAGACCAGAGGTCCCCTGCTGTAACCTTACATCACTTTCATTAGATTCTTTGGGCTTTTGGATTATGCAGCAAAAAAGGTGACCTGCTCCTAAAACCTCTGAAAAGGCAGATTCCCCAGGCCACCTATGTCAGGGCTTAAGAAACCTTAGGGAGTGTTTTATGCTATGTAATGGGCATCTCCCTAAATGCAATTTAGCAGCTGCCATTTATTTACATGAGGACTGTTATGTCAAGTTCCCTTAGTTTGATCCCCTTTTACCTACTTACTTTCAGTAAGTACACCATGATTTCAGCCTTGCACTCCTCATCAGATGTTCTTGCTTTAATCTCTCACATTTGCATTCCTAGGTTCATCCACTCCTTTTTAGATAGCATTTTTTTCAAATCTTATCTTTAAAAGAAAATTGAATCCAATGTAGAGATGGATGTCATTTGCTTCTAGTGACTTCAGCTATTCTGATTAAAAATGTTCTCATTCTACACTTCAGAATATGTAGGCAAGGTACATTTTGGAGTAAATGCAGTTGCCTTTATACTTAAATCTCCAAACAGGGTTGAAGGACAGTGTCTCATTTCATCAAGTGAAAGGAGATGCAAGTGAAAAATTTTTGAGAAATATTTGTGTTTATGTATCCACGTATGCTGTTTTCTTTGATTACAACAGAAAGATATTATTGATTCGTATTACCTTTGTCAGCCTCTAAAGCTACAAAATGCCTTTTGGAGAGATTGCTGCCTATCAGTCATTTCCAGTCTTGGTTTTGTGCAACAGCTGTGCCTGCTCTTGTGCTTTGTGCTTGTTCTTATGGACTTGCATTCCATTCATTTCAGTATTTTTTCAATTTATCAAGATAATTTTGTATCCTAATACCGCCCTCTAAAGAGCTTACAGCGTCTCATAGTTTTATAACATTTTACATTTTAATAAGTATACCCTGTCTCTCTCCATTGCAGAGATATCTCTGATTTCAACTCGAGAGCTGCACCTCGTGTCTGAAGAGAGAACAGGCAGCTGGAGTGAGCAGGCATTTGCCTGGGCTGCCCTGGTGTAGTGGCTGCAGCTGCGTGAGCATCCTCTGCAAAGTGGCCTCTGTACCATCATGCTCACGTTCCTGCTTCTTTGAGAGGAGCTGGCTCAGGCCGAAATAAATTGGATTAACTCAGAAGCGAAAATAAGTTGAATTGGGATTCAGTTTTCCTGGCACAGGCAGAAAGCCAACATTGCTGAAGGGCAGGTAATAGAGACGAAAAAAGCACGTGGAAAAGCACATTTACTGAGAAATCTTATTTTCATTTTACTTTCTAGTCTTGATCCTTATGTATATAAATGAGGGCAATGGCTAAGACTGCTTGCTGATTGAGCTGCCATTTGACAAGGACTGCCTTTACACATAAATATATTTTCAAAATTTATCTTTCTCAATATAAGTTCACATTTGTTCTTTTGGTGGAATTCATTACAAAGGAAGGGAGTAGCATCATCATTCAGATTGTAATATGGGGATCAACAAGTTTCTAATTTTTTTCTTAAGAATATATTTTTCTTCCTGGGAGACTTTACCTCCAGAAAGTCCTGGTTTTCAAAGCAAGAAGAATTTTGAAAAGAGAAATGGTATTTTGAATCTCTTCTTTTAAGCCCAGAAAATAATAATCAGGCTAGAATAAATTCTGGCCTACTCTTGTTTTTTTCATGTGCTTTTTTGCCAGATAGTATGGCATACAAAATAATCTGCCATATTCTTACTCACCCAGTCAAGCTAAGGGAAGTAGTGTAACCCCAATGGCTCACTCTGGCCCCTGAGGTCCACCCTTTCCCAGGCTTCATTCTTGTTCTCTCATGAGAAGTTGCTTTAGTTTTTAAACTATTGTTTAGTTATTATTTATTTTTAAATTATTATTTTTTTGAATTATCAATTCAATATCACAGATTTTCAAGTCTTTTGCCTAAAAAATAGTAGGTCTTCGGGCAAACCCTTTCTGGGCAGCTGTAGTGCTCTCAATAAGCAGGATGGACTCATGAAGGTGTGTGCAGGAGTGATGAGGTTGGGGGATGCTTCCAGCACTGCCAATGGCTCATGATGCTGATGGTTCATGAGCTGCCTGGTCTGGCAGATGGTCTGCAGCTGCTTTCTCAAGGTGATGATAACAGTGAAAAATTGTCCTCTTGCCTAGGTGGCTTGGGCTCTGCACAGACCTGCATATCAAACTTAGGCTCTGAATCCAGATATCTGGTGCCACTAAACCTTTCTTTAGCTTTAAATTCTCTGCCCTTTTCAAACTCTAAGTGTGAATTTTAAGTTGCACTTGCAATTTGCTCCTGTTCCCACTGGTGGGATGTCTGTGTGTTTTTATGGCCCTGCAAAATAGTTTCCATGGGTATATTTTCCATGGACATAAAGAGGAAAGGAGTTCCTGGTGGGTCACAGCCCAGGATCAGCTTCATTTGTGGCCAGTTTTGTTCATTCAGACTCTGGCTATGGTGGTTGGACCACAAACTCCTTCAGGTCTCAGCATAGGAGGAGAGAGGAAAGGGGCTTGGTCGGTACCTCCTCTTTCCTGGCGGTTATGTACTGTCTCAGCTCACTGGATGACAAACTGTAGCTCAGGTCTCACTTAAAATGGCAAATTAAAGGGATTACAATCCATTAAAGGTGGGGAGAGGAATGGCAGGTACAAGGTGATGCAATCTTTCTCCATCCTCCTACCATCAGAGCACAGGCCTTCTGCTGGTGAGCCATCTGCCCTGTGGCCTTCTTGGCACAGGGGCCACCAGCCTTATATAAATGCTTTCCTCAGAATTCACTATTTTACTGCTGCCACATGTCCTTGGTCATTGATACGGGCCATTTTTGCAATCTTTGCTTTATGTCCCTGGAACAGCCCTAATTTAGTAGTAGAGGCTCAGCGAGTTTGCAATGAACTTTTACCCAGTGACCTTGAAATATGATTAAGCATAACTGAAGAAGTGAGGTGAGTTTGCAGCTTTTACCCAATTAACTTTTACCCCGTGACCTTGAAATGTAACTGAATATAAATGAAAAAAATGGCTTTTATCAGCTTATTACTTGCCATATCACTGAGGCTGTGGCTGAGCAGCTGTGAGCCAGGTGCATTCACTGCTTTCCACCAGGATCAGAGCCTTATCGGGGGAGAGAAATCATTGCTTTCCTTTAATTTATTCCAGGATATGGAGTGACCCAAGGTTTTGCTAGCTATGGATGCAAATCCACAGCAGGGTGGGTATCTTCTGGTATTTTTGGTGTACTCAGGCTTAACAAAGTTGTAACCGAATTCAGGGTGAAGCTGGATGATGCAGTCTTGTCCTTTGTCTTACCCATGCACGCAGGTGATTTTCTTTTACCATTTCTTCTGAAATGGGATATTACTGAATCACAGGAGTTGATTCAGGGCAGCCTGTAGGTTTTGCTCATAGGTGGAAATAATTTGTAGCTTGGGTGCCTGGAGCACCATGAGGTATGGAGATCAAAGGTGAAGCTGGCTGATGGATGTGTCTTCTCAAGACTGCTTGGCTAAGCCAGCACCCCATGGCGGGCAGGTTTTATCGACGGCGGCTGGATGTGCTGGCACAGAGGTAGGTGGAGGGGACACACGAGGGGTTTGTGGGGGGCTTGGCGGTAGCTGTGGTTACAGCTGTGGTTAGAGGAGGCACCTGGGCAACCCTATTTGCACAATATACGGGCCTGCTTTTTGCAGGTTCTCAGTTACAGCTGTTCTGAGGACACCTTTGGTGTGACATTTGCAGTGGGTTGGTAGTATGCTAAGAGCAAGGGATGACACGAGTTGTTTGTATTATGTCTATTTTTTATTGTGGGCACCCTTTGTATATTTAAAATTAAAACTGGACAAAACATTATGTTTGATATAACCTTCCATTAATGGGGCTCACCGGTGACTGGCTCATGGTGTTGATAGTCTAGCACAGTGTATCGCACAAAAAGTTCCTCCTGTTTCCCCTGCTGCTTTCTATCTGCCTTATCTCTGCAGATGAGAGCTGTATGAAGTCAGCTGCTGTCTTACTGCACAGCAGCCTGCTCACAATGCCGGAACCGCTGTTGACATCACCATGACACTAATTGCAACAGCAGCATTTGGGATTTCCCAGTTTGATACTTTCTGCCCCAATAATGACTCCTGCAGAGGCAAAGGACAGCTCACTTGTGTCCTCCAGCGTACTTCAAGCATACAACTCTCATAACTTTATCAGCTTACAAAAAATAGAAAAAAGAAGAATAAAAAGCCGCCTAAGTATCAGAACTCCTCCCTTGCAGCTTTAAATTAAGATTGCACATTGGACCCCTGTTAAAGGGTTGCCCATGGAAGGAGATGCTGCGTTGGCTGCAGCTGGAGACACACACGCAGGAGTCCAGCCAGACACCCCCAGGGTTGCCTCTTGCTGCTTATGGGTTTCCTCTCCATCTCCCATTTCTAAAGGTCTTTTACACCATATTTGTGGTAAAGTGGGAAAATATCAGTAATAAAAACTGATGCAGCTGCTGTTACAGGAATAATTATTGGTTTATTAACACAAAAATTACAGAATATTTTTGCAGTTTAGGCAGAATTTCAGAGCCCAAACTGGAATCAGTGTTTCCAACAAAGCAGACACACATTGAGTGTGAGAAGAGAGACAGAGGTCTGCCACAGGCTGTTCCTGCTGCAGGAGAGGAGAGCTGACCTCTAGGCACTGAGGAAGGTGCTGATGACAGAGCAGGGCTGGGAACCGTTAGTTTCAGCCACGACATGAGTGCAAAGGCAGGATTTGGTAAGGAGGAAGCTGGTGGGACCTGCAGATGTTCCCAGGCCAGGCCAGCCCTTATGGGAGGACAAGGGGACAGCCAGAGAAGAGGCCTGGCCATGCCCAGCTGCTCCAAGAGCAGTGCTCGCAGAGCAGATGGCAATGAGTCTGTGCAAGGTCACCTAGGCTGGCTGGGCCCAGGCTGAGAGGGCTTTCAGCTCATGGAAGAACCACAGAAATCAGGAATCCTCATGCTCAAATCCTGCCCTGCACTTTTTGTCCCAGAGAAACATTGTCCCGCCATCTGCTTGGTCCCTTCCTCTGGCGAAGGCAGGACGTTTTCCAGCATCAGCGGATTTTCTTTAGATACAGGTGAATCCCATTCTTGGAGCGAAGGATGATCTGAGGTATTTTGCAGGGAGGCTTGGCGGGGTCAGGAGAGAGCTCGAAACGGAGCAGGGTCAGGGCCAGTGCCACCTTCATCTCATTCATGGCGAACTGCTGCCCAATGCAGTTCCTGGGGTAAAACAGAGCAGCTCAACCACGACATCTCAGTGCTGGGCACAGCAAATCCCTGTGGCCAGAGCCCAGCACTCACACCAGCACACAACCCTTCCCCTCTGCAGCTCTGGGGACCCCAGGCAGTATTTTGGGTAGGAAAAGCAGGGCATGGACTGAGCAGGGGGAATCATGGGGAGCATCTGGAGCTCCTGGATGTGTGTTCAATGAGCACTAACAGGGAGGGGAGATGGGGAAGCCAAAGGAGACACCAGCAGAGCCGAGGTGGTTGGTCCCCAAGCAGGGGGGTCTACAACATTCTTGTCTTGGCGGGGTGAGCACAGGATGAAGGGCAGCACTGGGGCCAGGGGAGAAGGGGGAATCAAAGGGTGGTGCAGGGGGTGGGATGGGGTCTCTTCATCAAGGAGAGGAGAGTAGGTGAGCCAAGGATGCTGCAGGCTCCCCACACGATGCCAGCAGGATGCTCCACAGCTTTGGGACCTGGTTCCCTACCCTCAGGAGGGGCCAAGGATGTTTCCTTCCCATTTAGCCTGTTGGTATCAGAACCTGCGGCACAATGCTTGTAATATGGTCATGAATTGTTTAATGCTGCAGGACAAGGACTTCAGGTGGTGGTCTCTGAAAGCACTCTCTAAGTGCTTCCCTGAGAGCAATTATAACAGCAGCTTTTCAGGCTCAGCAGTTTCCAGGGTTGCATTTTTTGTCTCCCTCTTCAGTGTTCAATACACCTTACCTCATTCCAGCAGAAAAAGGCAGAAAAGCGTGAGAGTGTCTGCCAGAGATGTTCTCTGGGGAAAACCGCAAAGGGTCGAACACCTGTAAAGGAAGAATATATAGCAAGAGAAAGCGAATATTTAAGGAACACAGTACTGACTGGTATCTTCAGAAACATGACACCCCATAATTTCTGAACAACCCCATTGGAGAGAGAATTCATTCTGAGGTGGACTGAAACTCATACACCTGCTTTCCACTAAGCCTGGCAGCAGTGTTGCCAAGACAAACCAGACATAGATATGCTGAAAAACACGAAGCTGGGATTCAATTCTCCATGTGTAGGCTGAGAAAAAAATCATCTTTTTGCCTGTTAATACAAGCTCTTTGGAGCACTCTGTCTTACCGTTTGGGCAGCACCCAGCCCTCATGCTGCTGTCTGACTGCCCTGTGCTGCAGCTGGTCGAGACTAACACAAAGCAATTGCTGCTCAGCATGACTCCTGTGGGCAAAGATGTTTGGGAGCAACGGGAGGCTCTGCTCTCTTGCTAACACGTGGGGGTAACATTGGAAGAGGCACAACATAAATGAGAAAAATTATTAGAAGGGCAAAAGAAAACTCACCAGAGGGTCTTTCCATACTGCAGGGTTTCTGTGAATGAGATAAATGCTTATCGCGGCAATGCTGCCTGTAGAGCAATTGAGGAGAAAAGGGGTCAGTGACAAAGAAACTAAAGGGAAGGTTGCAGCATGCTCACACAAAGGTCTGTCTAAATCGTCATGGTCTTATCTGTCAACTGGAAACCTTTGAGGGTTTTGTCATTGGCTTGAGAGAAAACTAAACATTCTTCCATTTGTTTAGTTGTAAGCAGCCAAACAGTGGAAATGAGGAAGGCACTGGCACTGCAGGCTCATCGTCCCCCCACCAACACTGCCCACTTGTGTGTCAAATCAGAGAAGGAAAGGAGCAGCACAGGGCAATCTGCATGCTGAGAGTTGGGATGGGACTAGTCCCTGTCCCTCTGCGACTGCTGTTTGCCAAAATGGGTGAACCATGAGCTTGTGCATGGCCAGGAAGAGAAGGGGCTTTTGGCACAGGCACAGCTGCCCTATAGCGATGGTGGCAGGAAGGATGTCACAGGGATGCTGCTGTACAGCCCAGACCTCAGTCTATCAACGGGATGCCAACATCTGGACAGTGCTATCTGAGTGTCTGTGCCAGCAAGGAGCAGGTCACAGAGGCAGGGCTGTCACCTTTGTTCTGTGGCAGGCAGTGAGGATGCGGCTGATGCCCAAGAGCACAATTCTATGAAGTGGGAATGGGGTTTACAGACCTTCTGGCAAGGTGCGTCCATCAGGAAAGGTGATGGGTTTGCTGAGCTGCCGGGACACACCGGGAACTGGTGGGTAAAGGCGAAGGCTCTCCTTGATGCACATGGTGCTGTAAGTCATCTTGCCCAGGTCCTCCCTGCCGGGACAGAAACAGGCTGAGCCCCATGACCACCAGCCCCCTGGGCAGATCCCCTTGCAACAGATGGGGTGTATGGAGGGACCCACAACGTCCAACCACAGACTGATGCAAGCTGGGCACCCCAGGACACCTCTGAACAGCCTTAACAGCCTCTGAACAAGCTCAAGTGCAAAGTGACAGCAGAAGGTGAAAAGCCACAACTACAACATCCTGTGAGAATGCTGGAGAGAGCAAAGAGTGATGTTGGTGGCCCAGATCTTGCACGGCATCCAGCATGTCCCTCCTGGTCTGGGGTGGTTTGTCTGCCCTGGTAATATGAGCCCTGAAGGACAGGGAAGCAGATTTAGCTGAAGGATGCAGTGTCTGCTCCATCCTATGAAGTCCCTGTGCATGCAGCTACCTTTAGCACCCCAGCTTTCAAACCCTGAAGACATTGCTCACTTAGAAATGGCAGCAATGGGAAAAACGTTACCAGCTGAGGAAACGTGCAACCTTACCACTGGAGTGTCTCCCGGTGTCCCAGGATCCCCTGGATCTCCTCCCGGCACCGTGCCTGGTGCTCGGGGTGTGACGCCAGGCAGTACAAGAGCCAGGAGATCCCACTGGCTGTTGTGTCATGGCCCTCAAACATGAATGTGTCCACCTCGGCACGCAGGTCCTCATCGGACAGTCCAGCTCCGTTCTCATCCTAACAGTCCAGAGACACTTCAGTGGCCCATACATATAAAAATGATATCCCATATATATAAAAATGATATATAGGATAAATAGAATACAAATAATATAGACCATATATATTATAGTGGTCCATATATATATATAGGCAATGACCCTGGGATATGTATAAACAAAATCAATCTCTATTTAGGCTGAATTCAGGGCCAGTTTTCCTTCACTTATAAAACTCTTTATCCCCACCATATTAAACCACCAGGACTATGATATCCCTCTGTGTGATGCATTCCCCAACAGATGCTACCAAGATTTCCGTGATGGAAAATGATCATCTTGGCTCCTCCTCAACGGGGCAGGACTGGGCTAATTTATTATAATGGCTTGTGCACTCCTGAGGGACTCTGGTGGTTTGTGGCACCCCTGCAAAGAGTGACTGGCTTTTCACAGAATCATTCAGGTTGGAAAAGACCCTTGGGATCATTGAGCCCAACCATCAGCCCTAGTCTACAAAGTTCTCCCCTACACCATATCCCTCAGCATCTCATCTAAATGACACTTAAAGACATCCAGGGATGGCAACTCCACCACCTCCCTGGGCAGCCTATTCTACTGTCTGACCACTCTTTCTGTGAAAATTTTTTTCCTAACGTCCAGTCCCCTGCTGCCCTGCTGCACACCCACTCCTCACCACTCACTTTGGCACACAGCAGAATGTCCAAGAAGTCCAAATGTCTCTTCTTCTGGATCTTTTCAAATTCCTGTTCATCTTTAAGGGACTCCTTTCGCTCTTGTATCACCTTGTCTGGGGAAGAAAGGGTTGAAGGTTCAGTAGGGGCAGCAGCTGCAAAATCATGCTGCAAATGCAAAGCTCACCAAGGGGGTGACCACCACTCAGTACATGATGCATTTGACGTGAGCTTCTGCGTCTCAGACAGCTTGGTTTTTCAGCAGCATGGCAATAAATGCTGTGCACACCGCCATCCTTTTCTGCAAGCTTCTTTGTCCACCCCAGACTCCGCAGCCTATTTTACCCTCCCCTCCTGTATTAAAATCACACCTGGCCTGGAAAGGAAAATCATTCCTTTCATCAGTGTTGCCTGCAACACACATCTCTTGTCTCACCAGTGTCTGGTCATTTAACAGGAGCGTTCCCAGAGGAAAATTTCTCCATTAGTCCGATTTAATAACCCAGGAGCTGTGTGAGCCCCTTGCTTCATGTCTAGATCAGATCACTGCTGCAAGCAGCTGCTCTGCTTGGATCCCAGCTCCAAGCCTCTGGGCAGGATCACTGCATGGGCAAGGAGGTAACTTGATTGCCTGTAGTCAGCCACCACTTACCCTGTTTGAAAGCTTTGGGAGAGGATGAAGAAAGGGAATACCTGTGTGGTCATGAGCAAGCTGGCAGACCTTCCTGAACTGATATCCGTGGGGGCTGAGCCAGTAAATGATGTCATTGTGGTACGGGAAGATGCGAAGGCGCTGGTGCACCATGAGGCATAGGCTGTAGACAGCCTGGATGTAGGTGTTTTTCCTGGGGAGAGGGGAATGGTGGAAGTGTGTAAATTCGGGAGCATCATGACAACTAATTTACCCATTTCTCTTCTGAGCTGCAAACTTTCTGCTAGGGTTTGGGGGCAGGCAGCACTGACCTGTTGGTCTGGCAGTTGCTGTGACAACTGAAGGCACATTTCATGATGCTATCAAGAGTCATCAAACTGACATGCTCAAAGAGCTCCACTGGTTCCCCATCTGTGACCAGCTGTTCCCATTTATCCTAGGGCACAAAGGAGACAGAAATGAGAAGGCATGGGACAGTTCTGCACAATGTGGAGTCATCCTCTGGTTAAATGAGTGCTCATCTAGGGATACATCCCAGAGAAATGGAAAAAAGAAGAGGATCTCTTAGTTGCTGTCAAAATCCCAGTGAAGGGAGGAAGCCAAGAGCAGGATAGTTAATACAAGATTTGCCTTAGGCAGCTGTTACTCTCGAATCCTGGCAGCCTTGAACCCTGGTACACCCTACCCTGGGGCAAGGACACCCTGGAGAAGCCCAGGATGGGCTCGCTGTTGGTGATAGGGTGTGTTACCAAAGTCTTTCTCAGAGTGCAGCGTCTTTCCTGCACAAGAGCAGCACATGTCAGTATTGGGCTTCACCAAGTCTGTTCTCAAACACGTATGAGTTTGGTGCCTAAGTTGCAAACTTCTGACCAAGCTTTTTCCTCCATCCCATGATCTCTCTGCTGCTGTGCTTTTCCAGTATATAATATAGGAGCTCTTGCTCAGCTCTTCCATAGGGGATCCTTAGAGAAAATCTAAGTGTCTTTTTTGCCTGGCAGACATGAAATGATTCTCCGTCCCTTCGTGGCTGCAAGGAACTAGTGGACTCAAAAGCTGAGAAAGGAAGGAGATGGAGGAGTACACTCACATCTGAGCTCCCACAGCATGAAACCAGGCTAGGGAACAGGGCTTATATGGACAGACATGTCCTTAGCACATACAACGATTGCCACCTGGTGGCATGGATTCCCACAATAGGCACTTTGCATTGTCTGCAAGGAATTATAAACTGCCAGGCACTTGTGTGCATTGCAAAAGCCCTCCTGGCTCTCCAATCCCCAGCTCCTGGCTGGTCCCTGGGCTGGAGGGAGGGAGGACAGCCAGGATCCATGGAAAACTGCTGGGGAGGTTGAATGGAGTGAGGCAAAGGAGAAGGAATAGATTTGACACCCAAACTCACAAAATCACACAATCACAGAATCATCTAGGTTGGAAAGGACCTTAAAGATCATCTAGTCCAGCCGTTAAGCTAGCACTGACAATTCCCAACTACACCAGATCCCTCAGCGCTGTCGGTAACTCCTGCTGGTCCACATGCACAAAGTCCCTCACTTGTCATTCACGCTGGTTTCCACTGTGCCCAGCACTCATGGATGGAAGAACAGTGCAGTTTCACTGTCTATTAGCCAAGGCAAGGATTGCAATCCAGTCACGGGTATGCTGACAGGAAATGATACCTTTTAACCTTAGGTCACAGTATAGTTCTGCTCCAAACTGTATATTTTGAGGATTTATTACGCACCTTTTTTTACTGCAATTCTTCATTTACAAAAACACTTTATAAGCAGCTGCAGTTGGGATTGAGATTATGCACAGTTTGTGGATGGCAGTAACATTTAATCCTCAAATTTTAGCCCCAGAGCCCAAAGCAGTATCAGAGACAGTCCCTGCAGGGAACTCACAGGCAGGGATTTGTGGTGGCTCAGAAAGCTTGACTGCCAGGACACAGCCTGTCCGTACAATTACCAGGTTGTGAGTAAGAGCACTGCAAGAAAACCCTGCTCCAGCATTTACCTACTAAACAGCCAGTATCAGGGTAAAGGAAACAGGGCAGAGAAAGGAGGATCACATGAGAGTCCTACCAGCATCACATTAGTAGACTCTGCCATCAGGGCCACGTATGGTTTCAAGATGTCATAATGAAACCCTGGAGTCAGGAGTTTTCGATGTTGGTGCCATTTTGGTCCATGTAAGATCAGCAACCCATTCCCTGTGGAAACACAGGCAAGGCATGTTTTGCTGGGCACAAGCAGGCTGCTTTCACCTGCCTGCAGATGCGGCCTCTGCCTGCAAGGACCATGATTAAATCTGCTGTCTGAGCTGCTATGAGAGAGTATTTCCAAATGCTGCCACCAGCTCCAGGGTTCCCAGGGCCAAGCAGAGCCCTGCTCACTGAAATGACACAGCGCTGCCTCTGAAAAGAAGCACCAACACTGCTGGAGCTGAGAGCTTCAGATCACCAGATGTATTTTTCACCAGTCCTCCACTGAATCTGAGCTTTTCCCATCACCACCCTTTGCTATCTGTGGATGTGTAAGTGGTTCTCATATGTACATATGACTATGTCTGAACTTTCTTTCCTTGAATTACAAAAAATAATGTTATTCAGTACCTTTTAAAAAATGTAAAAATTTCAGGAAGCTTTTAGCTATAACTGCCTCAAGGAACAAACAGAATGCTGTTTATTTATAGCATGATCTTGACTAATTTCAGAATCATTCCTGGTAGACAAAGCCCTGGGAATACATACCGATCCATGGGACAAGGTGTTTATAGCTGATGTTATCTTTGGGATCTGTAAAAAAATAATCAAGAAAGAGAAAATAAAATGGTAAATGTTTCAGTAGCATCAACCCACTGGTTTGCACCTGAAAGCTCTCTCTGGGCTTTCACTTTTGGTTGAGTATGAAGCAGAATTGGTGTCATCCCTGCAGAATTCATCAGTATTTCACAACAAAACAACATCATTTGGCCCAGTTGCAAAAAATGCTTACAAAAGCAGATGCCCAGAGTGGAGTAAACAAGAATACTAGTAGTCCAAAGTCTAGATAAATGATCAACCCACCCAGACAGCACTGTTTCACACCCTTCTCTCTGGAGGCACTAAAGATACAGCTCTACAGTAGGAGCCAGGGGTCTGTTTAGAAAAAAGCTTTCAGCTGCCTTCCCTTTGCTGGGATCAGGAACCAAGAAGATAACTTTTCAAGGAACACTTGAGGAAGTCTCATTTGTCAGATTTGGAGAGGCCCCTGTCACACCCATAGCCCCGTGCCTGATGCACCAAGGGCATGGTATGAAGATGTATTTCTCCATGACTTTAGATGATTTCTGCAAGACAAGCTCTCTGCAAAACCCTGCCTTGCTGTGAATTTTTAGGCTGGCATGGGAAATCTGCAGGCTATTGTTGTTGCTCCATAGCTGAAGCCACCATCTTCTCACCTCCTCTGGCCAACAGAGCCTTGGCATAGTCAGGATCGGTGACAACCAGGAATGCTGAGAAACTCCCAAACCAGAGAGGGTGAGCATATAGGTACTTCTGTGCCCAGATCTCCACCTTGTCCAGCACCTCTTCCTCCTTGAGAAACTGTAGTGGTATGGAAGTAAAAAGAGGAATAATATTTAGATTTGGAGGAAGAAAAAAAAAAACATCTGCCAAACCACCATCTTAAAAAGCTCAAGGTCTTTCTATGTCACAAAACCAGGTAATGGCAAACAAGGTATTGTCCCTCTGGTTTTGCAGAGCATCAGAAGTAGAGATGCCCATTACTTTTAAACCTCATATGAAATAATTCTTCCCTATCAATTGCCTCTAACTATGGAGAACATCTTTAGGGACAGTTGTGGTGCCTATCAGTGCACATACATTTTCTGCTCTTTTTCCATGGCCACCCCAAAGAAGACTCAGATTTGCGCCAGACAGCATCTGCATTTTGGGGTGTCCAGATATGTTCTCATTTGCACATGGCTGAGCAATTGGCAACCTGCAGTCATGAGAAAATACAGCAGCACTTTTACAGCAGCAAAGGACATTGCTGCTGTGTTTGCCCTGGTGCAATGATGTTTCTTGACCAGAAAACCTTGGCCACAGCTACCTCCAACCATTTAGGTGGAGAAGGCCAGTGTCCAGGTAAAATTCAACAGAATGAGTCCAAAGTCACTGACAGACTGTACAGATGAGGGGACACTGATTAATAATGTCAGATTAAGATTTCATTGATTTTCAGGAATTGAATGTAATAGGTGATGAAGAGCTGGTGCTCCAAGAAAGGTTCATCTCTGGTCCTTGGAAGCTGTACAACACCTCACAACGTGAGCACCAGCATTTGTATCAGCGACACTGGCAGGTTTACTCTTCAAAAGTAATGACCGTTTTATTGCTTTTCTAGCCAGTGTTATTGTATATTAAATAGGCAATAACCAAAGAACAAGTGGAAAGATCAGTGGAAAGATCCAAAGTCCCAAGCAGAGAAAAAAAGGTCACAGAAATAAAACCGTGAAAGAATTCCTTTTTCTTTGAACAGAAACTATTCTGCCACAATATCAGGGAGAAGGATTTTGGTGAGCTAGGGCTGACATAGCTGCTGCTGCTTTGACTTGAAGCTTGAAGTTCAATTACATCGATCTACTGGTGTAGAAATCAGCCGGAGTCACCCCGTGGAATGAGTCAAGTGAATATTTGCTCACTTGCTTTGGTGCTGAGTTAGTTCAGCTCAGCTTTTAGTTTGGCTAGTGTTTCTCAGTCTGGGAGATGGCTTGTACTCAAATAATCAGCCATGTCAGGCTTGTCTCAGAGAGTATGCTCAGGAGCCATGGGGCATGGGCCAGGGGACTGCACAGGCTGTGTGATGGCACAGCCAGACTCTGTGCACCAAGGCTGACCTCCCTTCCCTGTGAGCTGGGGGGGTCCCTGCAGCATGTCCTCTGTGTGTCTCTTGCATTCAGCAGAATGACAAACTACATCCAGTTATCGTTAATGACAGAAAGTTATTGTTCAACTTCTCTTGCTCAGGTTCAATATTTTTGACTTATTAAAGAGAATCATCCATTTGTCTGGTTGCAGGGTTCAAGTTTTGGGGTAAAAGGAGGCAGCCCTCCACAGCACCCACCTCTTTGGCAATGCCAGCAGAAGTGGAGCTTGGCATGGTGCCTTTAGCTGAGTGACACCTGAACACAGGAAAGTCCCTTTGATGTGTCTGCTTGTTCTTCCTCCCATCATGAAATCACAGAAAGCATAAATGGAAGTAATTGGGAGATGCTGAGTAAGCCTCACTGGCAGAAGTCCTAATGCTAGAAGCCTTTGCATCCAACCTTGCTGTTGGAGCACTAGCTTTGGCTTCTGCTATCAAGAACCATCCCTATGTTGGCAGAGGGTGGGATGGGTTTATCTGAGAGGAGATGTTACCCCAAGGTGAGTGACCTCTACCTGCTGTGCTGGGTGCTCCCGGGGCAGAGGTGTAAAGAAGTCCTGTGGGCTGTGAAGGAACAGGAACAGAAAGCTCCTGCTTCTTAACCAGGCCTCCAGCTGCCAGGCTCTGCATGAAAGACCATCACTTCTACTTCTTCCCCCCTTGGGGGCTTGAAAAGAAAAGTATAACCCCTGATTGGATCTAAGAAAGAAAGGTTATAGCATGATCTCACGCTGAAATGTGTTTTGAAATAAATCCAACACTAAAAGCATCTGGGAAGGAGTGCTTAAAGGTGCTTTTAATGACTACGCACTGATAGGAGATGAAACAGAAAAGACAAGAGCTGAAATCTGAGCATGAAGCTCCACCGTGCTCAGTCAGAACCAGGCTGGCTTCCCTCCACCAGCTGCCCGCACAGGACAGATGCAGGCAAAGGGCTGCCAAGGGACTGAACAATTTCCCTACACCCATGGGGCAGCGACCCTGTTCTCCTCTGCTTCCCACCAACTGTGGCCATGGGAGGTCGGCTTGGCCAGTTCAGGACTGGCACCATGGGTTTTAACTAAGTCTTGCTGTTGCAGTGAGGCTGAACAGCTCTATACAACCTCCCCTGATATTTTAATGTGAGTTCTACCAAACGTTTTGGATAAGCAGAGACTAATACCTAAGAATGCTTTAAAACAAAGTGATATACTCCCAGGAGATCCACCCAGAGTATGACAACTATAGATACTAAACTGGCCTGAATCAAAATCAGCAATTAATCACTTTAAATCAACAGCATAGGAAATGTCAGTGCTCTCCCTGAATACAGCTCTCAGGTCCTCCTCTGAGATGCGTATAAAGTTTGTATTCAGTCTGTACCCAGAGCATTGCCAGTTTCCTCACTGGCTCAATGAACTGTTGGGCTCTGGGGAATTCAGCAGCATTTAATCAGCAAATTATTAAATTTGTAAAACAGGAACTCTTCAAAAAATACTGTCTGAGGTAAAAGTCAAGCCATGAACAACTTAGCCACCATGGGAGCTAGTGACTGGCCCAAATGGTTAAATCCCATTCCAGGATAAATAGCCACAACCGACAAAAAGGCAAACATACTGTATTTAACTGCAGTTTTAAAGTCTAACTGGCAAAGCAACAAAGCCGTGAACTGGCCCATCTTCATGCTTACATTGCCAAAAGACTGCCTGTCTGGGGCTACCACAGCACAGAGACAAGCCCTAGGACATCTCCTCCAGACTTCCAGCTACTTTTCAGGGTGCCAATTTTTTAAGATGCCACAGATTTGGCCAGAGCAGGGCATCAGCAGAGCCCAGCAGAGGTCAGGGTGATTCAAAGCAACCTTTAGCACCTATGGAAAAGCTTTTCACGTCAGGCAGCTCAGTACTCCTCACGAAGCTACCGATGAATTGTGGCAATTTGCTTGCCAAGGCAGCCATGCTGATCTGTGTGGGCAAGCACATACCTTGGAGAATTATCATCCACATTGTGAGTGCCCAGAACAAGGCTCGTATGCAGGTTTAGTTAGTCGTGGTTTTAATGCAAACTTAAAAAGATCCGTGGCCCCTGTGCTAGATGCTATAGCTGGGATGTTTTGTGGCTTAAATGTGGCTCAAATTGATCAGTGCCCTGTCTGGCTCACCTTGCTGTGAAACCAGTGCAAGCTGGCAAGGGAGAGAAGGTGCCTCTGGATGCTGGGAGCAGCGTGCATCTGCTCGGGGTCGCAGGGACGGCTGCAGCGGCCGTGCCCTGACTTCCACAGGCGCAGAGAGGTGACAGCTGAGCCTGTCCCGGGACAGAGCCGCACGGCTGCTGGGTTATTGCACAGTGCTGGGTTACACCCTGGGACGACCTTGCCCACACCACATTCTATTATCGCTGTCTTAACTTGCGAGCCAGCTACCACCTCTTCCCACCGTGCATTCTGCAGCAGCCTGAGCGTGCTGTTCTTTGGCATCACAAGCAGAGAAAGCGGTCTGTATGGCTGAGAAAAAGGATGCCCGCCTTCCCCCTCCCCCTGGGGTTGACAGAAGCAATGCTCCTGGACCACGGGCGTGAGTCCCAGCAGCACCATTGCCCCTGATGTGGGGAAACGGCTCCCCGCCCTCCCCGGCAGCGCAGACCCGGCTCTCGCCCTACCTCGTGGACGTGGCCGAAGAGCCAGTGGGTCGGGTGGCCGGGGAAGTCGGCCAGCGCCCTGAGCAGCTCCCGCCGCCGGTGGTACAGCTGGATGGCCTTCAGCAGCACGCAGGTCAGGCAGAAGACGGCAGCCAAGTGCAGCACCCGGGAGAGATCCACGCCAAGCCAGGAGAGCTTCATCCCTCCCGAGGAAGGCAGGCACCGGCCGTCTGGCTCGGGCGGAGGCTGCCCACCCCGCCCGGGCGCCCCGGCCGGCACCAGCCGCGATCAGCCAATGCCGGGCGGAGAGGCAGGTGGAGGGGCCGGGCGGCTGCCAAATCACAACAGCGCTTGTTGGGAGGGAAGGAGCCCACGGGGCCTCGGGAAATGCACGGCGTGCCCGCAGAATGGGCTCACAGCCCTCGCCTGCCCTTCTTCCCCGCTGCCCGCGCCGGTTTGCACCTCACCGGCGGCGGTGGCTGGGGATGAGGAAGGAGGGAG